AGGAAAGCCTGAAAAACAGAGAATATCCCCAAAATCATGGATTCAGGTCTCTCTTATGATTCTAAGTTTAGCTCCCAGAATTGGCAATGGTGAGAGCTGTTTAAGGACTTGCCATTCTGGCCACCTAATTCCAGGCAGGACAGTGATAAAACTCTCCTTAACCTGCTGCAACGTCCAGGAAAGGCCAGAAATCCAACAAGAGAATACAAAATATTTATGTTACCAGCTTCATTGTGGACCAGGTTGTCTGTGATTGCTAACAGCCATCAGGAGATGGCTGGCCAGCGATGGATATGAAGCGCTTGGCATTTCTAGCATGTTTATCACCGCAAGAGCCCAACTGAGAGACCGCATGGGGCAGCTCTCAACCCTCTGCTGCCACTCACAGTGATATCTGCTAGAAGTAAGCAAGCGCTTGAGTGAACAAGAGTCTGTGCCCCCCACTAGATGTACAGAAAGCGGGTGAATGTGCATGGAGCCAAAATTTGTCTGCCTTGAGACTTCTGTCTCAGTCAAGCCCTCATTCACTAAAAAATAAGCGATGAGCATCAATTTGCACAATAATTTGTGCCCTCTTAGCAGAAAGCAGGGTGTAGGTACCGGCTGGTGAGCCCCAGGTGGGAGAGGGGGAAAGAAACAGTCACTGTTCATGTAACCAGAGCAAAACACATCACTCTTCTGTGAATTAATGTACATCTCCTAGGGAGGATGGGGAGGACAAGCTGGAGATGGGAAATCAACAGCAAACTCGCAATTCCCTTGGATGCAGGTTTGAAATGGAGAACAATCCCACACGCCTGAAGCACAGGAAGGATTGAAGGGGAATGTGTGAACAGTGTTTTCACTCCCGTTACAACAAGTGGGGACCCAACCTGCCAGCGCCGGGCACCCCAACCCCTCCCAAAGTCACCAAGAGCCTCTTGGCACATCTCCAGCTAGAGGGGACAACTTAGGAGGTCTCTAAATCATACGTTCTGCCTCTCTGTAGTCGAGAACCTGATCCCACACCTCCGCAGTCAACGGCAAAACTCCCACTGATCTCTGAGATGCTGGTGAAGTACTCAAACAGGCCAGGCCTTTCACTTTGGTATTGCACAGAGAAACCCACAGTGGAATGGACTTTCCAGGGCAGTCCGTCCCATCTCATCATTGCAAACACCAAACCCTTTAGTTACTTCCACAATTTAGTGGTCTCTAGCCATAAAACAGTTACTTTTGTACCTCCTGTTCATGCTAGATGCACAACAGATTTGTTCTACAACACTAAGACGCAACACACGTCTGATTAAAAAAATCCAACCTCTATGAGGATTTGTAGAAGGAATTTTAAAATATTTCCTTTGTTGCCCCCTAATCTACCTGTGTTTCTGTTTCTTAAATTACCCTTAGGTTTGTAATTACCCTCTCCAAGCAGGTATGCATCACTACCTTTTCTAGATGATGCTCTGGCCCTGTTATATTTCTCTATACCTGAAGAAAATAAGAAAGAAACAGTGCTATATACTGAAGCTTGAGAGATTCACTTGTTTGCTTGACAACTGAAATGCTTCTTCCGCTGTTGATTAGCGCAGATTTTGCTCACTATTTTTGCTCTGAAAAAGTCCCCCAGTTTTCCTCCTGACTTGCCACTCTCGAAATTCAGAAGCCCTCTGGAGAAAGTCGGAGCCAAGTAAAGTCACAGCTAGGCCTCCCTATTACAGGCTGAAATGCTGTTAAGGTACTACAGTAAACTACAGTAGGCCCCTGCAGCACAAACCATTTAAAATCCCCACCTGAGGCAGTGGGAAGCTGACAAATGTTGTGATGGTTTTCCCTGGGCTACTCAGTGAAAATAAGATCTTTCTGCTGCTACTCAAAGCCAGATACTGTAACCAGGTACCTCAGCCTTCAGCAGCAGTTCGTGTTAGTCCCAATTCCATCCAGTCTCTGCACTACACTCCCAAGGTGGGGTTTAGTCCTGGCTGTCTTCTGAAATTCTGTTGGACTTGTGGTCTGCAGAAAACTGAGGGTCCACAACCTCATTCCCAGGGGTCTGAAGCTGAGAAAAGAAAACTTATCTTCATCTGGCTGAAGAGTGGTACAGAGAGGTGCGCACATCACCGCAAACAGCAAACCCTCTCCTCTATAAATCAAGCCTGCAACAACTACAAAAGTATGAAGTAGGCAGCCTCTGCAGCTGGAAAGCTTTCGAAATCAGAGATGAGATACTTTGAAAACCCTCCAAACCTCATGACACAATCCCAGCGATTAGCAGTCTTTACTCAAGACAGACCCAGAGGTAGAAAACGGAGGAAGAACGAGGCCAGAATTTCTCAGCGGTGTGTCAGGGTGTGGAAGGGCGTACCTGCTCCCCTAACCTACCAACTCACTCTTCGCGCTAACCCAGAGAAAACAGAAATTTCAGGGACTTGAGGGCTGAAATTAGACAGGGAACCACTGGGGGGAAAAAAAAAAGTGACTTCATAGCTGAAGGGGAGCAATATCCCAGAGGAAGGAGAACGCCACCCTGGAGGTAAAAAGTAGGGGTGTACTGGCATTGGGCTTTCACTATGTGGCTGAATTTGGGTTCGCTGGGATGGTACAAACTGGTCTGTCAGCCAGAAGTCTCATGTAGGCTCCTGCATTTCCCTGATCTCTCTAAATCTGAACTGAACAAGACAGCAAAAGGCCTAGCAGGACAGGACTGGGAAATCCAAAAGGTCTCTCTTTACTGCTGGCCCAAGTCAAGAGTCGTCAGGGATGGATGCAGGTCATGGTAGAGGTGTGTCGGCAGAGCTGTAGCGGACGAGTTTCACTTGAGTATGATAATAATTAAAATCACCACCATGTTGATTTCATAGCATTTCCAAACAAGGATTCCCCAAAACACGTTTCCAAACAAGGATCCCCAAGGATTTTCTGAAGGCAGATAAATTATGTCCAAAGAATCCTGACGGGGAAGTAGACCGAGGCAGCTAGATCAGCACTGTAGAGCATCATAACAGAGCTTGGAGAAGGCTGAACATCTAATAATTTCCAGGTAGATAGATCATTCTTAATTTCTAGAGGATGGAGAGATGCGAGACCAGAGGACAAGCTCAGCCATGGAAGGGGAGAGAAAGGATGGGAGAGGTTTGCACATCCCCTCTGCATCCCACAGGTGTAGTCAGGCCATCCCTTGCTTAATAATCCTGGGAATTGACTCTCAATATTCTTCTTACAACAAGTTTTCATGGATGGATCTGTATCAGGACACATTACAAATCATAGGAGAACTCCTATTCCACAAAGCAACAGAAACCCAGTAACTGGAGAAATGTCAGTGAGTCTAGAAAGCCTCCTTTTCCTCAAAAATTGTGATGAAAACAAACAAGACGGCTTTGCCTCCTCAAACAAGGCTTGTGTTGGCCGGTCTTTCTCAAACATAGCAAGGGCTCACATGTGGACCAGGCAAGGCCACAAGCAATGCCCCAACCACGCAGCAGGGTGATTAGGGCCATCTTGGCGGAGAATCAAGGAGCCCCAGCTCCGGGCACTGTGACCCCTGTGAGGCTTAGTCCTCTCCCACGCAGCTGTGATGCCAATCCCAGCCTGAGGCAGACAGAAACTTGTGTCCCTGGCAGAGCAGGGTCCCCAGCCTCCCAGCAGAGGTGACGGGGTGTCCTTGGCACCATGCTACCAGCAGAAAAGGTCCTGAGGATGCCTCCAACCTTACACCCCTCAGTACAGGGGGTACCTAGAGCTGTCCCCAAGCCCACACCCCCAGCAGAGGAGTCCCTAAAGGTGTCCCCTCGCCCCATGCCTCAGGCAAAGGTGGCGGTGGGATGTCTCTGACCTCATGCTCCCAGCGCAGAGTCCCCCAGGTGTCCCCAGCCCCAACATCTGGCACAAGAGGATCCCGAGGACCATCCCCCAGCCCCATAATCTGGCAGATGTGGTGGGGGGTGTCCCTGGGGGGTGACACTATGCCCCATGCAGAGGGGATGTCCCCTGTCCTGCCGCCCTAGTGTGTGTAGGGTCCCTAGGGATATCCCCTACCCCACAGCTATGGCAGAGTGGTCCCTAGGGATGTCCCCTGCCCCACTGCACTCACAGAGGAGGTCCGCAGGGGTGTCCTTAGGGTGCCCCCTGCCCCGCAGCCCCAGCGGGAGGTCCCAGAGGGGTTCCCAGGGACGTCCCCGCCCCACAGCCCCGACAGAGGGGGTCCCAGAGGGGTCCCCGCCCCGCAGCCCCGGCGTGGGGTCCCCTCGGCCCCACAGCCCCCGCAGGAGCGCGTGT